TCATATCGAATATTCGAATATCAATTATTGACAATTTTGACATCCCTATTGCGAAGTATATCCATGTATAATAAAAAGGAATGGTTTTCAATTATATTTTTTTATATTTTCCTTCAGTACGAAGAAAGCGTTACAAAAAGAAATTAAATGTTCTGATTTTCATATTAAACACTCTTCAAAAAATATACACATACAGCAGAAAAGAGTAAACGTTTGGGAAAAACACGATTTTAGCTAAAGGTACTGTGAGCACCAAGCTCACTAAGTGACATGTTACTAGTATTCATTAATAAGTGTCCGATCAAAATGTAAATTAAAAAGGTAGAAGATGCACAATGAAACTATGTAACAAAGATTCTGCATGTGAAAGTCTCATTTAATTTCATTCAGCGATATAAAATGAGTTGTGGATAAGAGAGGGGTAACTAAAAGCGTAGGAGACATGCAGACGCACAAACCGATCACTATATCACCTCCTACTTTTCGAACGGAGGTACATAACTAGTAATATTTACTGAATCTCAATAGAAAAGCAACACTCTTATGTTAGGGGAAAAATTATATACTGGTTTTAACTATGTACCAAAAAAGTTAGAACATCTTTAACTTTGCCAAGTCAGTTACTGTAAACGTATTACATTTGGCTATATATTTTTTAAGCGGCTTCGGTGGATTGCAGCAACAGCTGAATCAAGTGCACAGCTAAAATTTAATGTCTTGCACGTACACACATGAATAAGAATATGAAGAAATGCTCAAAATAAAATTTACGCAAACTTATTCAAAAGTTAATTTCTGCAAAATATGGTACACGCTAAATATAATACATTTACAGTATTTAACGGTGGATTGATTTCGATTCCATTACCGGCATTTGATTTTTATCCCTCTTAACAGAAATAAAAAAAATGCATATTTAATAAAATATTTGAAAATATTTTGGTTTTTCAAGGTTTTTATAGCTGTTAATCGTAAGTGTTGTAGATGAAAATATACATTATATAACGACTTTTCAGGCTGATGTGCTTCAAAAACACGAGTAACAGTTCCTTGACCGGAAGTTCAAGAGTTACTACACTACGCCAGTATGAGAAAATTCGACTGTAGTAAAAAACTGAAAAACTGTCAATTAAAAATGGCCAAGATTATTTAATTCGCTAATATTAAGACTTAAATAAACCTTATGCATGGTAGAAATCGAGCTGCATTTGTTATACAGATCAGATTTGCACGTTTTAATTGAAGAGTAGGAAGGGAGGTGTTTTAAGAGTTATGTGTCACTTTTAAAGTTTAAAGATAGTAATGCAATGCAATCTGATATCAAAAACCACTAATTGACACTTTGAAAAATAGTTGAATATTTAAACATTAATATAATTATTAAATATCTAAGATATCGTCTGCTTTAGATTTTATTAAACATATTAGATATGATAAAAAGTAGGCACCCATTCTCTATCCATCTTGAATAAAGGTCTCTCCCAAGACAGAAGATTTGTGTTTTAATGGTCGCCATGCTTATTTTTGGAAAGGATATTCTTATCAGAGTTGCCGAGATTTGACCATTTCTGACAAATGAACTGTTCTTGTCGTAAAAATTAACTCACGTGGTAAGAAATATAAAACTCATAAAAATCTTTCAACTTTTGTGACAGAATGCTACGGAGGGGGTCACGTGACTGCCAATATCACGCGATTCACGCATGCGCAGAACGGTGGTTGATGTGTATTAAAATTGGGGAGGATTAATTTAAAATATAATCAACATTGAAACCAAATATTGTTTCTTTTATGGAAGTAATTCAATTAGTTCGCGAACTTTTTGATTACCCCTCGTACAATATTTACTGTTAAGAGGGCTAAATTCAACTTCCGGTAATGGAATCTTAATTATTCAATCGTTAAAAAACTGATTTGGCAAAATTAAAAATGTACAAACTTTTTTGGTATATAGTTATTACCCGTATATAATTTTCCCCCTAAAATTTGGGTGGTGCGTTTCTCTTGAGTTTCAGTAAATAATATTGTTACATTTTTCTGTCAGTACGGTGATTTTCTATAATGGAAAGAACCATGTTCATCGTTCCCTTTTTGGCACGATAAATTTTTAACTCCTTTAGATTCTAGATCATTCAATTGACCTTAAAATAGCAATAATTGTGAAATTTAATGAGATCAAGATATAGCTAATTTATTCCCAATTAAGCTCAGGTGAGTATTTGGATCAAAAGGTCCTTTAATTTATTTTTTTCTTTGCCCCGTGAAAAAATTTCAATGGAGTCATTATTCTACAGGGTCATTTTTCTACACATGGGTTATGCAAATATTTAGGGTGATGACACTTTTTCTACGGGTCATTTTTCGACGTCGAATAATGACCGGGGGGGGGGGGGGGTTCGCCGTAGAATAATGACCGGGACTAATTTTTCGACGTTCACCAGTCATTATTCGTCTTTACACTTGCAAGTGGCGATGTTACTATGTAAATGAGTGAAAAATTTTCGACAGGTAATTTAAACAACAAGCAAACAAAGATATAGATTTTCAGAAAAAAAATACTTGAAAACCACTTTTTAACAATTAATATACCTGGTGATTTAAGTAAAGATATTGCTTCCTCAGTACGATTCCTCTCTGCCAAAAAATCTATTTTATATCCAAGGTCTGGAATTTGTTGAAGGAATGACATCATTTTATCAACATCCCCTTGCAAGTGACATTGCTTGGCTGCCATCTGACTTAATTGAATTACTGTTTGAAAAGGCGTCGGTGAATTTTTAAGAAGCTTGTCCGGAAATGGCTCGTTTTTCCTTTCGTAAGTCTATATGAAAATAATACATGTGAAAAAAATAATTTCTATCAATCATTTAAATCCTTAAAACGATTCAAAACTTTTAATTGAAATGGTTTTTTCTACCTGTTTCAGGTACATATATCTATGAAGGCATTCAATTGCAACTTCGAATTGCTTTTTAGCGCAAAGGAGGTGTATTGCTTGTCTATATTTTCCGATTTCTTCAAGGCATTCGCTGGCTTTTATTGGATCTTCATTTATTTCATAAGCATCAGCTGCTTTTTCGAGCTTAAAAAGAATTACTTTATTGTACATGTATGTAAAACATTAATTATCACAAATGTCATGTTTCAAAATCGTATATTTAAAAAAGTAGTTTCTCCTGAAAGTGAATTTGAAGTTATTGTGTATGTTTTAATTTTGGTGTATTTTTCCCTCTTTTAAAAAATGGGTATGAATTGATGCTAGTACTGTTCTTCTGCCATTTATTCGTCTATTTTTAAATCTTACCTTTGGTACATTTTTAGCCTTTTTATCATTTTTAATTAAGACACAAATATGCAAGTATAATTGTTATTGTTTTGACAAATGTTGTGTAAGAAAAAGAAAAATACTTGATTTGTATTCTCGAAAAGAGTGGCAAGTAAGGAATACTCCTTTGCGAATTCAAGACACTTCGCTGCTTTAGACGGCATTTCACACTTCAGAAAGTCGTATGCTGCAGAAAGAAACATTTCCTTCATTTCTTTTTCTCTCGAAGTTTTGCCTCGCAGCCTGGAATAGATTATGAAAATTAAAATTTTATACCTGATTTAAGCCAAAATTTAGATCAACTCTTTTTGAGGAATTAAAAGAGAAGATTTATAAATTGAATATTGCTTAACACCGAGTCGGCATTTTTAGCCATGTTAGCCATCGGCAGATAAAGAAAAGAGAAATCAGTTTAAATTTGGAGTTTCAATATCAATACAGATAAGTGGTTCTTGAGAAGAATTCAAGATTATTTTTTAATATTAATTTTGGATGCTTACGTTGTTTTCTGTAAAAAATTAAATATATACCATCCATGGCAGCAATTATTATGAAAAATATAGGATTGGTTTCTATTATATATATATTTTTAAATATGTTATTATTTAAAATAAAATTTTACAACAAGTTCAAACACTCTACAGTCCAGCCGTTGTATATATTATAAAAATGTTTGCATACTCTTTATTGTAATGAATGATCACCTTTTAAAATTTGTATTGAATTTTTTTTTTCAAAAGCTTCAAAAGCTCATACTGTGACTTTTGTCACCGGATCCCACCTCTTTTGTTCCCATTTTGTATTGTTTTCTGGACTTTTGATCTCGTCCATTATCTTAATATGTTACATGTTTCGGTCAAATGCTGTTTGCTTTATCTTATAATCAAAAATTGACAAAAAATTAAATAATGCAATTTTCAAAATAGAAAAAAAAGTTTATAGAAAGATTTAATTAAGCAAAAAAAAAAATAATAATTAAATGATTAAAATGATCAAAACTTTTAAAAACTCTATATTTAATATCGTTTGAAATTTTTGTGGTTATCTTTGAAAGTCACCGAAAGGTTCTAAAACTCGTTTACCCTCCTTTCTTCTATTTAGGGGGTATATAGTTTTTGCTCTTACCCATAATTTTTTATTGGTTGAGGCTATGAATATCATATTCCATATATGTAGTTCTTGTGACAAGACTTTTCTTTGGACATCATCAACTTAAACATTCGTCATATCTATTTAACAGTTCGCTAGTGCTTTCATTTTTCATATCTTTAATATTTCTGACAAGTGTTTCCACTGGACACGAACAATTTCTACCCTTTGACCGAATTTTAAAATGCTTGGCTATAACTTTTGAAAGGTTACATAAGTCTTGTGAAAAGGCCTTTCTTGTGATACAAACAACTTTGAACCCTTGACCTTGAATTTTGTCCTACATTTAAAACTAATATTTTTACCCATAACTTTTGAATAGGTGGTGCTAGGGCTTTCATCTTTGACGACTTTTTTTTTATTTTGAAGACATTATTATAAGTACCAATTCATCTGGTTTGCATTATTGAAAGTTAAACCTTTGGTAAATTGCCATAGAGGGGCATATAAGCGTTTCACAAACACATCTTGTTTAATTTGTTTATATTGAAAACTTGCAAAAAAAAAAGATGCAGCTTGTAATCATTTACTTCATTGCTTCCTGTGCCTTTTGATGGGAATTAGCAATTTTAGCCATTTTCAAATCATTTCCTCGACTGAAGCAGATTGCTGCAACCTTGTACACCGATTTTTCCATTAACTCCATCCCACGATCAAACCAATCTTCCGGAGTTGAATCTTCAGCATGCATAAAAACACCTATGAAGAAAATATTAATTGCAAGAAAAAAACTTCTCTATGTTTCAAATGATTGTTTCTTTGTAATAGGTACATGTATAAAGTGCGAATCATATCTATAGATCATTCTGATGTGAAACAACGCTTTTCATAGAATAGATGTTTTCAAAAATTAATCATACATCCGCACTAATGGATACCGACACATGCACGATATGCACAGGAATCTCATGAGCTCTTGCGATGAATTCGTTTTACAAATAACCCGACTGTCGCTCTTAAAGTGCCCCTACCCGATTTTGACCCTCTTAAAGTCCACGCATTCTGCTCTTTTGTCCATAAGCAGGGATACAGATTCTCTGAATTCGCTTGTTCTGTGATTATACACTGTGTGTACAAACTTAATGCGGATTTTACCTAAATATTTCAATGTCTGTATAATAACCGATACTTAATATATTAGGGCAATAGCGGATTTATTTGCAAAATTCCTTATTAAGCATTGGCTTAATTGTTAACGAAAATAATCATTTCAAAATAAATGTCATTTTTACCCTTGGCACAAAACTGAAACCCTTTAAGAAAATGTTTTTCACAAGATATTTGAAGTTCAAAAAACAGAAATCAAACCAATCTGACTTTGATTTACATGTATATAAGAATTATTTTGGTATACAATAAGCATACATGTATCTAAAATCATGTAAGAAAAACGTTATTGTCCACGAACTTTATGGGCAAATTCGATTATTTTTTTTTTAAAACAAAATTTTGAAATAATCCATGCGAATCATTATATCGCATCATCTTTCCTTTCGTATCGTGTTTTCCATTTATTAGATTTTTTTAGTTTTCCGTATTTCAGAATGTTTGCGTTACATGTGTCTATCGTATTTTCCATATATCAAGTTTTCGTTTTTTTTATCATGTTTTTCTTTTATAAGGTTTTGAGTTCTCGATCGTGTTTTCCTTTATGTGGCTTTGCATTTATCGTGAGGATCGATTATGAGGTCAATCGTATTTCACCATTATCGTATTTTGTGTTTTTCATGTTTATCATAAAGTATATCAGATTTGCGTATATCCTATCGTATATTACGTGTATCCTATCGTATTGTGTATAGTTCGTCAATTATATCGTATCGTGTGTCCTGTTAAGAATGACGCTGAATGACGCTGCGGGTACTTTGCATATGCATGATTTATTATACACAGATTATTAAATAATTAGGGAATATAAGATCTAAATACCTGCTTCTTTACTTTCTGTTGTATTTTTCGCCATTTTCCGAGCTCTGAAATACTCAAACATTGGTGCCCGCTTCTCCTTGTCTGCGTCAAATATCCAGACATGAACTCTAGCTCTTGTGACAGCAGTATACAAGTGTTTTAATTCTGTATTCAGCGCCTTATGCTTAATTGGGTCAAACTGCAATGGTCTGGATTGTGTTTGCTTTTCTTTGAAGGCTTAAATATAAAAAAAAAACAAAATGTATTGACAAATTTAGTCTAAAATTTTCAAACGGGGTTAAACAGTTTCTTAGCTGTTTTCTTTTATACCCTAAATTCACAAAATAACTTCAGTTTAATTTTTTTAAAGACTCGAGGATAGAGACATTCTCCATAGTAAATGTCGATAATCGGTGTTTGCTTAAATAGAAAAAAAAACTCCTAATTATATTTATTTTACCATATGTATTTTTTTTTGGGGGGGGTGTCTTGTTACCTCTGCATATACATGTACCACTGAGCACGGACTGACGGTGTGTATTATTTATTAATATATGAATATTAATTAAGGGGAGTAAAATTACCATCATAATCTAATTCAACAAAGCTTTCAATTTCATCTTCAGATGTGTGTTCATTCTCTTCAGATATTAGTTCATCCAGAAAACTGGTCACAACTCTCCATTCCTTGCCAGCCTATAAAAGAAATTTTCTGTTTAGTTTTACACTACTATCTTAAATCGTTTTTCATGAAAGAGTGGGAGTCAGTAAACAATTCAATTTAGATGTTTTAGCAATGTATACCGCGTTTGATTTTCATAGAAATATCTAGTATTGAACGGCGAGACGGAATTAATATTATTTTCTTTTCTGGAAGAAATATTAAAAATTTCATCTCGTATTGTCAAAATTGTTGAAAGATAAATGAAAGGTCACTAAAATATATCTTCCATTCCGTCGACAAAATGTTAACTGAAAGATCACGGAAAAGTTACGGGAAAGGATCTTTTCAGTTACCTTTCAGTCGATTGAATTGTGTAATTTCATCCTGTTATTTCTATGCATCCTCTTAAAACTGACTAAAAAATAAAAGTGGTTCTTATTCAATACACATACCTGTGAATCTTTAAAGAAGTTGTATAAAAGAATGTCGTCGAATTCTAGACCTTTTGCTTCGTATATCGTGAGTACGATTCCATGCTGCAATTCCTCGGGTAAAGAATCCCTGGATTCGTCATTCACCACTAAGATCGCCTGATGAGCACCAAACTCAATGTTTGAAGTTGATTGTTTCTTTCCTGTCGCTAGCATCGTAGCTACATCCCTTTAATTACAGGTTAATAAATAAGATAGACTTTTAATTTTCATTAATATACTGTAAATAAACTTTTTTGTCATCATGGCGAGAGTAGATCGTTGTAATTGTTTTTCGAGACCAAGCATTTTTTGATATGTTATTAATAGCCACAGATCTAGAAACTTAAATAACCGGTTAGCGGCGAAAAATATTTGCAATGACTACTAAATTTAATTAAGGTTGTCCCCTTGTTAATCCGCTGAAAACTAATTGGCTCATGTAGTGACATCCCGCTAATACAACCTGGTTACATGTATCAATAGATCGATTTTCGCAAGATTGCATTTTTAAAATGGGTACAAATATCAAAGGACGATAACTCCAAAAAATGTGCATAGATTTTGACGCTGTTTTAATTTTCTTTGGTTTTATTTCGCCGTAATCTTTAATATATAAAAAGAATTGTAATCCCTTTGAACACTATAATACATACTGGATACTGCAAGATTCTAGAAGAATGGGAGAAGGTCCTTGAAATAATCCCTTGTCCTTTTCTAGAATATCAAAAGATTCTGGATAATATTTTGCCAGAATATCCAAAATGCTAGACGCTAGACTAAGTATCCCATTGTGAGAACGATAGTTGTGAGTAAGTTGATGGACCTGTAAATTGTAAAATACAAGTTGATAGGCTATGAACAAAAAAAGCACAAGGTAGGATAGTTTTTAACTTTTTGAAATGAAAATATTATCAAAAGTTCCCATTGAAATCTTGGTATTTACCTTTTTAGGAATGAGAACCTTTTCAAAATCTATTCTTGAATTCTTAGCATGGTAAAAGAGGGAGCAAAGATCTTCAAATCGAAAGCATATCCCTCTCATGATACATTGAGCTGTATCACCTGTCATAAATATATTATTCGGAGAGCGACACAAGTTCAACAGCAAATATAGTTCTGCTTGAGTGAAATCCTGGGTCTCGTCGACGTATATTTGTTGAATATTCCACAAATCTCTATCGACTCTGTTCATTCTATAGGAAAGAAAATAATTTTTTTTAATAATGAAGGAACAAGTTTCATTCTTTTTTTTTATAATCTTACTCTGAATCCAAATGCAGTTCATCGTAATTTTAAACTCATCTGAATATTAATTTAGTCTTTTCACCTTTTGAAAATATGCCTCACTACATCTGTCTCATCAAACATAAAATGCTGCTTCAGATAATGTCTGTATCTTAAAAATATTTCATAAACTGTCTCTCGTTCTCCTGTAAAGTTCGGGGCTTTTTTTCTGCCTTGTTCAAAATAGTCACTCTTACTGAGATGTCCGTGTTTAGCAGAGAGAGCCTCAAAAGATCCCTTTATGAAGGATATAATTTCCATCCATATAAGAGATGGGTGATAATTGTCCATGCCCTTATTTATTTTTGGCCACACAAGATTCACGAAAATGTCATAGGTAACTTCCCTTCGAACATCACTCATTCTATTTACTTCTATATTGTCAGCGTCATAATTTTGTTCTTCATTCATGCTTTCATCTAACTCTATATCAGAATCATCATCTATTGAAGCCAGAAATTCGAGCGATTCATTTTCATTCGTCCAGCCAGGTATATCAGCCTACATTTTATATGTTAATATATTATTGATACAGTATTCAATTGAAAAAAAACCCAACTGATTTACATGTACAATTATGAATTACTGAAATGATTTCTTTAAAAACAGAATATACTTTGTAAAATACATTTTCAATTCATTGAAATAGTGACCTTTATATTGCCTTGTTCGTCCCGACGAAAGAACGGGTTGGGTAAAGAGGCATCAATCATAAGCAAGAGCTTTCTGGATGTTGTGAATATGGGAAAGTGAACATTTTGGAGGTCTTGAAATCTTGATGGTAAGGTGATACCAACCCTTGTAGTGCGACCAGATTCAAAAGAACTGGCGTTTTGGATTCCATAAAAAGTTTTCCGGACTTCGTTGCAAAGTACCAGATTTTTAGTAATAAATATCTGTCGAATAAGACCATATTCAACAGGATTCCGAACGTCATTATCCTGATCTTTCTCACACATTTGAGCAGTACTGGAAGTCTGCTTGCTATTATCTTCGTCATCAGCTTAACAAATGAAGATGTTCAGAATAAGCTTTTATTAATATACACACGAGAATCAAATTTCATAGTAAAAAAAAATAATTCAAAATCAAAAATAAAAATACCTTGATTTTCCTCATATTCGATAACAGTTTTGTTATGTTGATCATATTGACTCCAAAGACGATAAAGACAACAAGTCGTTTTCCCTGTGCCACTTCTACCCATCAATAATAGCGGACCAGCTGATGACAAATTTATTATTGCATGTTCTTTCTCTGTAACTTTGAATGGGAAATCTTTTGCATTTTCCCTAGGGTCCAGGGCACAAACAGCCATGTCAGTCGAAAAGAAATAGAACTTAAGAACATGATACTCTTTGGCAAAATGACTTGCTGGTAGCAGTAATTTCTCTTTTGTAGTATTTGGTTTTGATTCCTGTGAACTATATCGAATAAATCTTCGAGGGATCCTTCTGCCTTTGTCATATTTACAATCAAGAGTTTCAGAACAAGTTAAGTATTTCTCAATTAAACATTCTTCGCCTTTTCGACAAGAGGTTGTAATTCTCTCAAGGGATTCCCTTTTCCCCTTCTCATCAGTAAATATATCCCATATTCTAATCAGCTCCGTATACAAGACGTTGTTTAAAGTAGAACTACTTTCAGTTAGTCTCTGAGAAAAACAAATTGCTATTTCCCATAATATTGGACCAGTTTCGAATATCTCTACTGATTTATCTATAGTCTGCAATTTTATTTTCTCGCAAATACTACCAAGGAGTTCTCCGCGAGCAAGTTTTTTAAGCCTTTGAATAATATCTATTTTGAAAGAACGTGGTGTTGTCCGACAGCTCAGTTTTTTCCAAACATCAACTGTGCACTCTAATTCCCATTCTTGAGTTTCAAAATAATAAGGTTCAATCTGCTTCAAATAAATTAAAATTCAAAATTAATTTGCTAAATTAGCAAAATTATTCAAACTGTTGTCAAAAACTGCAATTTAAAAAAGAACACTTATTACAATTTACGTACATATTCATCCTGTAATTCACATTCTGTCTTCTCAATACTTGATTTTGCTTTAGTTTCCTCGATAGGGTCGGACAAAACCTTAATCATAATAGAAAAGATGCAAATGAATCTGTGTACTTGGATACATGTAGATATGAATCAATTTCCCTTCAAACCAATATAGACAGGAACGTAATCTTTCTGATATCCTCATTATAATTGAATATTTCTCTAATTTCCTCTTAATTCTAATCTATATTTTGCATGGGTATGACCGGTCCAAAGAGATCATCATTCCTCCATTGCACCTAACTCCATCTCTAATGCTTTAGAGGTCTGTGTTTGCTCCTCTCTTACATGTACTCTGTATTGTTAAATGGAATTCTGCGCTCAAATACCGTTGCTTATCGCCACATATTTCATCTTATTTATTCATTGATATGTGAAACTAATTAGAAATCATCTTTTTTTTCGAAAATAGAAACTTAATATGGCATTTACATGTATATTTAACTCAAATGCTACAGTTATGTATACTTTCTCTCCAAACTTTTTTTTTTACAAAGACATGATTAACAGATAATTCCCAACAAGTATTCATTAACACTGTATATCAGTGAAGCGAACTGATTGTTAATGACTTAGCTCAAATCAATAAGAAGATGAAATGTCTATTTTGCCTCTTCTAATCAATAACAATTTTAAATGTAGTAAAGATACATGTATGGTGTGAAATGACATGAGCCTCGTTCCTGTAAAAAAAACATTTTTACAAGCTTGATTTCACATTTATCCATCTGTTTGGGCTTTTGTTTTCTTTTGGCAAAATGTAGAAACAAATTCATGTATATCAACAATGGCCACCTAAGGAGGGATTATCGGACATATTTATTCTCCTTTTAGAAAGATCCGTGTTTTTTTTTAATCTGTACATTTCAAAGGAGCAACTCGTTACAAATCAAGATGAATTTTGTTAAAAATCTTCCATGCACTATTTTTCATAAGAGGAAAACCTTATTAACATATAATACAGAGCTTCTTTTTTTTTCTTTCTAACCTCACATTAGCTCATTCGGAAGCAAAGAATGACTGCACTTAAGGACGTTATTTGGAACCTTTTCGGCTACCCATTTGAAGCTTAACATTACAATAAATCGCTGAATTAATCTTTGATTAATGTGCAAGCATATGCTTTTGACATTTATTTCTATAATTTTTCTTCATACATATTTCAATAATTACATACAACGCTATTGAAAAGAACATGTTTAAGCCATAAATTCCGGAAAATTGAACTGGACCGCTTTCGATTTTAAAGTCGCAGCAAAGGGGCGGAGACATTTAAATCGTATGGAAATGGATCATAAGCGCATGGTTTTCCGTATTTGATTTATATTATATATATAAGAAAAAAAGACCCAGAAGAGGGTTTTGTGTTCATTTTGTACAAAAAATAAATGATTTATAACCATGCATATAATTTCATTTATTTGTATCCACGTAAGTAAGTAGAGTAAGTAAGTAAAGAGCAGAATATTAAGAGAAAAAACAAAAAGTTCATAAAAATAAACACAATTGTGATAGATATATGTATGCATTTTGTACGCTTTGGTTGGTAGTGTCTGTTTTGAGAATTATTGGTAGATGAAAATGACACTGAAATACATTTTATTTTCTGAACATAATGGGCTGTCTTCGCATAAATGAAAAATAATTTGCAACCTGTCTATAGGATAATCTGAAATAAAAACACACAGTAAATTCATATATGACCTTGCCATTTGATTATTGGCAGAGTTAATTTTCAAAAAAAGTTTTGATCGGTATTCAGAGTACAAAGGACAATGCATTAAAAAAAAATGAATTTCGGCTTCTACATTATCAAGTACTGCATAATTTTCTCTATCTAACGTTCTTATAAAATTGGAATGCTTAAAATTTCACTGCTCATGTATTATTTGCTGTCAAGCAGCGAATTAACTAAATCTTAAAATTATTAAGTGTTCGTACCTACAGTGTATTAAAAAAAATGACATTTCACTTTATCTTAATCGTATTGAATAATAATTGTGGACTTATTAGTAACGTAAAAATAAAATAAAAAATTAGTTTTTTTAATGATGACTGTGGGCTTCTACCCTGACCTAAAAATGGTCGGGCTCCTGTTTTCAAATTTCTGGATCCGCCACTGCTATATGTACAGCATGTAATCAGCAAAATAATACCTTTTTCCTTTAAAATATCCCGAACAAAAACACTACAGTGAAAGAAATCAACGTAAACTTTAAAACGCTAATAAAATGTATGCAAGGATCTTCAATATTTTGAAGATGGAAGTACATGTAGATATGAAAAGAATTTTCCAACGACTGACACAATGAAAGCGTGTCGAACACTTGAATGTCACGTGAGAAAAGTGATTATAATATCAAAGGGGTCACATGGGCTGAAACTCGTTTACCTGCTAATTTAGTAGCTATCTCGAGCGAAGTTTGGGTACATTTTTTAAAAAATTAGATATGAGCCGCAACTTGACCAAAATTGTCCTTCGGATATGTATAAGTTTTAGTTAAAATACACATTCTGTGCAAATGAGAAAAATGGTCAAGTTGCGGCTCGATGTAAGCAATGTCGTTGAAAACTGGTATGCATATGAATAACAATAGAAATGAGACAAAACCGTTAGACCCCTGTTTCAAAAGCTAGTGTCGCTCGGCATTATCTAATACTTTCATGTAATATAATAAACCAAAACTTGCTCTTAAGATATTGTTTAATACCTATAAAACATAAATTTAATGAATTTTGGAATTTTATTTTGCGCAAATCTTTGGGATCCAACTCTCATAGCTTAAGTGCAGTCATTCTTTTGCTCATAGATCTGAGGCCTTTGGTTGGAACACTACCCTTTACTGTCTTAAGTCTTAAATAAAATAGGATGCAAAAGTGCCTTTCAAAGCACCTCTCAATTTGAAGTGTAATTTCGTCCGGTTGAAGCCTTAATACAAATTCCTGTGTCACGACAAGCTAAGCACAAAAAGATTCCCACACTGCTTAATAAATTGATGAAGTTAAGTGTAAATAGATCTCTTTACAGGTATAGGGTAATATCTGTGTCAATTTCGAAAATTGAAAAGAGACGTAAAACAACAAAATATAAATCGATGTTTTCCACGATTGTTTGAAAATTACCACCTAGATATGGAATTCATCTTAGTAAATATGGGAATTCATTAGACAAAAGATCAGGAATAACTCCCAGTGTCCCCAGTGTGTCCGATCTTCTAAATGCCATGCATGATCCAAACTCTGATATATATTATAACAAGGTATTTGATTCCACTGCTCTCCAATTGTATTATCTAATTGGTCTTTTAAATTGACCACTGTTTGTTTTCTTATTTTTTTTATTTATTTGAATTTAGATATATAATTAAAGTGACTTTCATAATTGTACGAAACGGTTTATGATTTTTTTTCTTGAGTTTTTTTCTTTGAAATAATTTTGGGCGAAAAGGATGCTTGAAAATAGTTAGCGAAAAAAGGAACATATTATGTAATTCCATCGCTGCTTTGAGGTTGGTCTTCGTGTGTTCGTTTGTTTGTTGCTTTACGTCCCTCTCGAGAATTTTCACATATATGAAGACACCCCAACCTGCTGATGGAGAGCAGCTAATTTTGTCTATAGTTGGCACTCAGGACTATTGAGCAGGGAGGAGTATATTTCGAGCCAGCACGTACTGCTACATGGGAACTCAATTTATACGATCTCATCCAAAGGACCGTCGAAATTGTTAAAACTAGAATAAGAGGTTCATGACCTCCTTGGTTTTTTAATTAACATAACAAGTTTTTCATCTTAAGATCCATTCTCAACAACCTCGATTGGGAACCATAGAATCGCCTATATCTTATGAATAAGTAAGAAGTTAGTAGGCAAACATTGTGATGGGTAATATGTTTATCTAGCTTAATAAACTGAAAGGCATTCTGTTATATGTTTACTAGCCTAATAAATTGAAAAAACAATCTGTGCATGAGATATATGTTTACCTAATCTAATGAGCTGAAAACCATTATATGTCTCAGTTATTCCATTTTAAGCTTCTTTTACATCGTATTGGCAAAGTACTTTGTCAATTCAAATTTGATGCGCTGTATTCGGTATACATTATTTATTATTTTCTTCGTTATAAATACAATTTTATGTCTCATAAAATAATTTATATACAATCTTTTTTACATTGTTTTTGACAAATTTAGATTAAAATCAGTTGTTATTGATATTTAATGTAAAAAGAGTGGGGTCGACTGGATCGGGATCGAACTCATGTTTGGATCGGTTTCGGCTTGATCGGGATCGAGTGCTCAATTAATTTGATTTTACGCAAACATGAGGTTGGAATCAATTTACCGCCACCTCCTCCTCCCATGTAATACCAATATTTGAATTTTTGTTGTATTGAATTTTTTCCTCATTGTATAACATCAAGCATTTACCATGCCGTGAGGCCTCTTTGTTTACGCCACCTTCTTGTTACACAAACTTGGTAATCATTATATAACAATAGCTGGGATAAGCACTAAGTCGCAATATATCATATCTAAGTTGAAACTAATCATTATTTGGCCTTATCCCAGCTATAATTTACATGATTGTATGTAATATTGTATATTTATGTGTTTTTGTTCACTTTCGTCATTTATCTGGTCAATAAATGACATTTTCACTCAAGTTCTCGTGTCTTCACTATATAGTTTTCAAGTAACAAGAACAAGCTACGGAAAGGCTTTTCATATTGTGAAAGTTACTTTTATTAGTGGAAAAGTTGTGGATATCATTACAATTTTATTACTTTTAAGAAATGAACATTTTAATGGAGCCTCATTTATCCGGATACTTTGGTTCCTGGTCAAATTTTTCTGATATGTGAAAGCTCCGGATATCTAAACTACCACTTAAATAAGATAAAATAAATTTTAAATATATATTGTTCCGAAAAAAAGTCGTCCGAATATCTGGCGTCCGAATATCTGAAGGTCAAATGCATATATTTCTTTTAAATTCAATTTTAATTATATAAAAATTCTATTCTTAATGTTGATCCTGCATTGAACACTAATTTTGATTTGAATTTACCTTGTCTTCTTGTTCTTCTTTACTTTCCTCATATTCCTGCTCTTCTGAATGTCTCTTTCTCCTCATTATTGTCTCTTCATTGTATAAACTTGCGTCATTTAAATTATCTATCATCTTTTTGATTGCTACTTTTAATTTTTGCTTCCCAATAGGTGCAGAAGATTCATTTTCAGTTGCCCTTTCCATGTCGAAAGTTACATTTCTTTGTCTTTTTCTTTGTTCTTCTTTGGAGTAGCTTCCTGTCACAGTGCCTTCTTTTGCATCCAATCTCGACATTTTAGATGCCAATCTAAAAAACTAAAAAAAAATCCTTTTGTATTTTGAATTCAAAAATTTTCTTTTTTAAAATAATTTCAAAAGCTTTCTCGGTTGTTTCAAAACAGCTGAAAGTATCTGAGGCTAAAAGCATCTTAAAAAATTTAACAAATCCATTATTGGACTAGTAACATTGAAAATGTTCCGTTTGAACAGTTGTCAGAAGATAGAAGGCATTTAGAAATTCCCCAAAATACAGCAAATTCTTCTTATACGATAATTTATTATGTTTTACATGTTTGTTCAGTGCGATGTCTAAATAAAGAACGTCAACACCAACTTGTAAAAAATATCATGTCTAAAGTATTTACACATTTATAGATTTATATTTATACATGTAAATGAGAAAAGATATGATAATTTTAATAACATTTGAGTCGCATAATACATTTAAATCATTAAATGATATTTTATTCTTATCGTTAGATGTATAATAGCTGATTTATCTTTGTAAAAGAACACATTGTAATAATCAATTAAACTATTTGATAAGGCGTTATATAAGATGATAGCAGATTAAACTTGGGAAGCGATCATCAAATAAATTGAAACCATATTCATGTTAAAAAAAATATAAAATTAGCTAAGTTTATTTGTATAAAAGAAGCCTCTAAGTACAAGTAGTAACATTATTCATAATGAAATTTAAATAACTTTTAATATCTATAGGTATTAAACTTTTTTCTACGTATTTATATAAACATTGAAAGAAAGCCAACAGATCCGTTTTTTAAGCTAGATATGCAACCACATGTATCTGTTTCATATTTGGATATTTAACGTGAGAAGACGTTAATGGTAATCTAACAACAAATGATAAACTTGATAGCTTTAATCTTTTAACGTCAACTTTCTTACCTATGAAAAATATTTTTTCATCGCCTGCATACAGAGTTTATATATATCGATTCGATACGCAAAAGCATGCTCTACGTATGAAGGAGTTCTAAACGAATAAATTATTGACAAACAGAATGATTTGACAAACAGAAGAATTTCAGCAATTCCGGTTAAAGTCATCAATTGATAAGTTATTTGTCGGTACAATACAATAACCTTGTTAGCAAAATCACTTTATCACTGAGTCGTTTATCATAGAAATTGTTAATTCACTACTTAAACATTTAATTGACCCATTTTTTATTTCCCAAATATGATAAGGAGCACTTGGTAGGTGTGACCAGTTGAAAGGGGATGTTCCCTCTTACATAGCAACTGATCCCACCTCTGATGTTTTGGAAGTCCATGTTTCCTCTGCTCCTATTTCGTATTGTTTTATAGACTTTTTTCTGAATACTGTTCGATTTCTTCATATGTTTCATGCATAGTCATGCCAGTCATGTAAAAAAAAAATTATAGGTTCTAAAATTACTTTTTTGTAATGTTAATATATGTATATATAATACATTCCTCCCTTGTGGTTTAACTCTCGACGCAAGGAAACTGTCTTCTAGCAGTAAATTTCGGCTACCAAGGCAAGTAAAAAAACGTGCTTTCGATGCCGACGGAATTCTTGAGCGAAGCCCTACACTACTCAGTCATTGAGTATGGAAAAGAGATAGTTAATGTTTTGCACATCAGGTTTATTAGAAGATCGGTAACAATGCACGTTGCAATGATATTAATTTCTATTGATAAAGCACAGTTTACAATAACTCTTAAACAAACATAACTGCTCTCAATAAAGAAATATCAAAACAGAAAGCAAAATTGAAACAGGAAGACGTATTTAAAAAAAAAAAAACTTTTTCTCGAAAAACGCGCATGTAATTATTTTGAATCTTGTAATGAAAATGATCGAAACATAAAAGTTAAAATACAGATTCTTTTCCGAAGTGGGTCAAACAATTAAAATGAAGATTTACAGAAATTATTATTTAACGCTCCATTTGTTCAGTCAATATTCAAAAATTTCTAAATACCTTCCGTTGCCATAAAAACAAGGAAAAGGGTATTTTATTTTTTAACTTTCAAAACTTTTCAAATCTTTATTGGTTTAATCTTTCAGTGTATATCAGTAGTTTCCTCATTAAATGGAATCGATGGTCAGCGGAGGAAAGTCTGAATGGCTATATTTTTTACTCACTTTACTTTTGTCTTGGACCGTTCTCGTAGAAAGCTTAAAATATCTTGATAAATTCCAGTGATATTTTTCTCATCGCAAAAAAAGGTAATACATACCTGCAAACGATTATCATCATTCCTGAGATACTCCTCCGGAAGTCTTCCGTCTCTGTCTTCTATATACGACTCAGTCCCCTTATCACACAGAAACCTCGTTACTCTAAGCGTAATCTCATTTTGCTTTGCCTTTGCCAAAACATGAAATAAACTCTCACCGCGCGAATTTAATTCTCTGGGATTCAACGCAGGAAAGCGACCAGGATCCTTTTTGATCATATCAAAAAACTTTTCAAGAATGGAAATATTTCCTGTAATTTATATGTAAAGTATGACATATAGTCCTCAAACTTAACAATTATTGAACTAGTTTGAAAAAGATAACCATTAAAATGCTCAGTTTTAAATCACGCCTCTACCTTTGTCTCTGTACAGTGCTATGTACAAAGCGGCATGCATAGGAGTATCGCCATCTTCCATTGATAGATATAAAGGATCCGCATTAAAATCGAATAACTTGTGCAAAACCATGTAGAGGTTATTTTGTACTGAAACAGCAATTTCGGATTTGCCACCTGAAAATGAAACAAGTGAAGTTAAAATTTAAAGACAAAGTCTATTTCAAGTTTAAAGCCATGTTACAAGAGAAAAATATTTTAATACAAGAATATTCTTAGCAATATACAAGGGAACACACCTTCCGAAATCAACGATCCACTTCGAAGCATATTCTCCATGATCTCAAGAAGCAAATTTTCTTGACAATGTAAACCTTTATTTTTTATAACCTGCTCAATGGAGAACCCCTTAGCAAAATCTTGTAAAAAAGAAATTCCACGATGTTTACGAAATTCAAGAGAGGCAATATGCATTTGCTTCCAATGTTCTTTTTCTCCGAGTCCAATCAATATCCTCGCATACAATTTAACTGGTATACGGGTTAATTTTACTGGTACATCTATAAAACAAACAGTATTGAAAATAAGATACAACAGAAAGCAATCACGAATAGTATGACCCTTTACAATCGGATATCTCATTGCAAAAATATTACAACAGCGCAGCACAGTTAAGGTTACAAATGGAAATATATATACGAGGGTTGTCCCGTAAAATCGTGGACAAAGCGTTTTTCTCGAAAAGTAATGGGCGCACTAAGCTGAAATTTTCAGCAAATGTTTATTCATCATATTTAAGTGTATCATAATGTTTTTGATAATATATATACAAAAATAAAGATTTTATTCTGCTTGAAGGTGCACATGGTACGGTCCTACGGCGCACGGTAAAAATAACAAGGTTGTATTAGAGAATATACAAGTATTAATTCGTAATAAAAGTTTTCAATACATAAGATTAGGATGAAAATTATCCTAATTCGATTCCTTAATCAATTCTATCGTCTTTTTTAAAATTTCAAGGCATTTGGTTAAATTTTGGCCGTTTCCCGAGCATTCGAAATGGAAAAGTTGTATACACAATACACGAAAAATGACGACGCTTCATGACGTTACGGCGCACCGGAGAGCAGTTCAGTTAGATTAGGATGTTTTAATGACACTTTAAAAGACTTTAAATGAATACGGAAGAACGAAAATATGAAAAATATCACCAGATTTTTAATATACAAATAAAATGAAAGTTTTCTTAGCGAAGTCTTCTTGATTGAGTCCCCAGATAGTACAAAACATGCGGACAGACTGTCATTGTAATAGTAAAATACGCTGTCACTGTCGACCGTCGATATGAGATTCTCATTTAGTTGACTGATGATTGGGTGAGAATACTGTCCGTAACTTGCTCATAAATATTCAGAAGATCGCATGAGTGTGTCACATTGGTTCCTTAACTGGTAATAAACACTCACGTATGTAAATCAATAAAATTTCTAAATTTAAGTGGGGCTTATCCAACTTTATTTTAGCAAACATGAAGTGTGACGCTGTTTTAGACACATCAACGTTATCATCCGTGCGCCGTAGGGCGCTACAGTACATAACATAAAATATCTCAATTTGTTTATTTATGCATATATCTATTTGAAATTTGCCAAGTATATTTATAATATATGTACTAAAAAGTAGTGAAACTTTCAGAACGCAGTGATGATTATTTTTCAAACTAGACAACTTGTCCACGATTTAACGGGACAACCCTCGTATATAAGATAAAAAATACATACTTTTTAAGATAGGCGATTCTTTTCAGGACTTCACTGATATAAAAAAAATATAATGTGGTTTAAATCTACACGTTGGGAAAATTTAGATTTTTTATTTAGATTTCTCACGTGATGTCGACGTCACATGATTTTAGCAATTATGCTTGCAGTTAAGAGGTCATCTCTAAATTCCAATATTGCAAGGACATAACCAAGTTAAAAATCTTAGTTTAATTTACAATCCTTTTCAACACTATATGTATTTTGTACTGCAAACCTATATAGATTCCTTTTTTTAATTGCCAAAATTTAATTTGTTGGACGGCGCAAGTTGAATATTTTGCTGGTAAACTACATTAAATATATAGATATATTCAATTTTTAAAGTTTGCAAGATTTCATGAGATTCGCAGAACTTTTCAAATATCTTAATGCTTCTTGGGTGTATGTGTGAAAACCTGACAAGATACATTGAGGGTATGCCCTTGCAATTAATCGATTTATTAGGGCCCTTTCATTACTTTTTCAACGAATCTGCATACAAACACACGACAGTATCACTTGTCTGGAGAATGTACGGAAAGTTTATAAATATACTAAAATGAACATCGCATCCAAGTTAATGGCCTTTTATTTAATTGCAAATAATATTTTATTTGAACAAAAGAATTTTACATTG